CTCTACATTAATTATATGTTAACACAATAATAGCATAAACTGTATTTTTTTTATGCAATCTACACTGAAAAAACACATTTTTTTAAACTAAACACCAATTTTTGCATCAATATAGATCATAATTAGAAAGCTTTTGAGTATCCTAAGCTTTAGGGTGAGAAAGGATTCTCAATTTATTTAATTTTCAGTTCTTTTATACCACTAACTCCTTTCTCATCCATCCGGCAGGCAATTTTTAAGGATAACATATGTGATCTAAAATTTCTTAACACATATATATTTACTAAACTAACCTTACGCCGAGCTTTGCCCATTGGCATTTCCTAACTGAACCTGACCGTTACCGTTGCCTTCAACTTCCTCATTTTCCTTCTTTCCCGAACACTTCCAATTGAGTTTCCCAAACAGTCCCCCCATCTCCTCCAACGTCTTCCCCTGAGTTTCCGGCAACATCATGTAAAAGAAAATCCACGACACCGTCGCAATTCCGGCATACAGGAGGAACGCGCCGCCGATCGTTATGGCTTTGTACAGCGAAATGAATGTCATGGCTATAACCCCACTCGTCACCCTATTCACCGCCACTCCTATACTTGCCCCCTGTGCACGGAGCCTTAACGGGAAGATCTCCGAGCTATACACCCACGCAATCGGCCCCATTCCCATTGAAAACGTGGCAACGTTAGAATAGACCATCAGGATGCAGAGCACCAATAGCCACGTCAGCTTTTTCTTTGAGTTCTCGATCACTGTGAGCCCTACCCCGAGGGTGACTAAGGAAATTATCATTCCGGCGACGCTACAGAGGAGCAATGGCCGCCGCCCTACCCGATCTAGTAGAAACGTGGCAATCAAGATGAAAGTGGTCTTGAAGAATCCTACGGCTATGGTGGCGAGTAGCTTGTGGCCATTGGATTTTATTCCGGCCTTCTCGAAGATTCTTGGACTGTAGAGTACGACGGAGTCGATCCCTGAGGCTTGCTGGAAAAAGTGGATTCCAATGGCAGCGATTAAGACATGTCGGACAAGGGGAGTGGGGTAGATAAACAGCTCTTTCCAGACGCCTTCCCCGTGGCTGCGTTTTGTAACCTGAACAATGTCGTCGTCATAGTCTAGAGGGATTCCGGCGGCCTCTTTAATGTCGCTGAGCCTTATCTGAGCTTCTTCTTTAGAATCAGAGGTTTTGTTGAGGACTCTCTTGGCCTCACCAAGGCGGCCTTGCATGACCAGCCACCGTGGCGACTCCGGCATGGCAAGGACCCCAATAGCCAAGGCCACGGAGGGGATTGCACTCACTCCAAGCATCATCCGCCACCCCAACCCCAAGTGCATCGTAAGCTTCGAGAATGCGTAATTGGATACATATCCCAGTAATACTCCGGCGTTGATGAACACCTACGCACAAAATCCTTGCGGTGAAACTCAAATCTGAGGGATGAAATGGATACTTAAAAATATTTAAGGTCCATTTTAGTACAAAGTGATAAAACTGAGGGACCAAAAAGTAATTAAACAAAAAAAAATTGGATAACGAACCTCAGGAAATGAGGTGAGGAAGCCGCGGGAGTACGCTGGTGCGATCTCGGCGGCGTACACGGGAGCAATCATGAGGGCGTAGCCGACGCCGATACCAGCCACGAATCGACCCACCATGAGGAACGCATAGTTTGTAGCAAACCCCATGAGGAGAGCTCCGATGAAGAAAATGCTACCTGCGACCACGATGGTGTACCGGCGACCAAGCCAATCGGAGGTTCTTCCAGCAGCGGCGGCGCCGATTAAGGAATACAAGTTGATCGTGCCAACAAGTACTTCCACTTGAACGTCGCTGATTTTGAAGTCTTCCTGGATGTACGTCGCAGCTCCACTCATCACACCGGTGTCTGAATTCCAAAATTCATAAACAGACCAAAAAAAAGGGAAAAAAATTTGTTAAGCGGGATGTCGGACAATCCACACCTTCCTTCTTGGAGAGTTGAATTCACGTGGATGAGTTCAAAGAAAACTTATATATTATGCAGAATGTTTACTCAATCTATTGTGAACTAATTTTATGTCAGGTCTACTTGCTTTTTTTAACTTATACTCTGTTTTTTTTTTTTTTTTTGGTACATTATACTCTGTTAAATCTTCCAGTGTCATCCAAATAATAATACGTATAGAAAATGATTTTCCTATTAAATATTTTGCAGGGAAACAAATAAATGAATGGAAACAGAAAAACATAAGCTTAAAAAATAAACAGAGGACTTAATTACCATAACCAAGCAAGATGGAAGTCATGGAAGCGAGTATGGCACAAGCAAAGGCATATTTGTTTCTTTTTGGTTTTTTTGCAGGTCCAAAATCAAGGACTTTGTCTGAAGCTGGCAGGTGGCCGGAAACTGCATCAGGGTGAGGTCCGGCCATTATCTCTGTTTTCTGGTGCAGAAAATGAAGAGATATAA